CTGCGTTTGCCAGAGCCTTTGTTTTACGTCTATGGATGACTTTCAACTGAAAAACAGCCTTCATGTCTGGTTCATCGAAACATGGAAATATTTGTCTTGCTCCTGTTGGTTCCAAATCTGTGGCTGCAAGGAATCTATGAACAAAAAATATGACCAAGCTGTGTTAAAATCAGCAGGCACACACATACAAAAAGAGAAACAAACAGAGATGCATTTTACATCATACTGAGATACTTGGCTGAAGTCTAAAACCAATCAGACAAAATGTCAACTTTTTACTCCCAGATTTAAGGCTGTTTTGTATTTTATTGATATTAAATAAAATAAGAATATAAAACATGTAGAATAAAATAAATGTGGACTGATATTTTAAGGTTATTTAGTTTTGAGATCTCCTAAAAACCTCAGTCAATTGTCACATTTCTCTGATCACTATATTTTAGTAATAATTCCACTTTAACATAATTTGTTTCTGTTCTGCCATTTCAGTTCCATTATGATTTTAGGGAAAAAAAGATTGAGTAGAAGAAGCCTTAGTGCTTTTAACAGCAGTTTAAGTAATATTTAACATCCATTTTCAATAAAGTATTAAAAAAATAATTAGTCACATTCATCATTTTAGCAGAAAAATTATGATTGAATAATAGATACTGTCTTTTCAGTAAAATTCCTGTGTATGATAAACTAAATAAGAAAAATGACATTCTACCCTTTAACTGGTTTACTATCTTGAAATCTCTGTTTTGTCAAAACATGAAATCAATTCAGGAAAACATACATTTTTTGAGTTGAACTCTTAAAATAATGTTTTTGTTTTTCTTTGTTTCTCCCTTTAGATGTTTTTCATTCTACCTCCTCCTGTTCTGTCCATGTAGTTTATCAGTCAGAAAAGTCTAAAAGGTGTTATACAGATTGTTTAAGAGTACTTACCTTTCCTCTATGGTTACATTTTCAGCCTCGGTGTTAAATTCAGCATATCTGCTTACATAAAATGCATCAAGATATTCCGATATTTCTCCCTTAAACGCCAGAAATAAACTGTAGTTCCCGTTCCTCTTAAAGAAGTTTTCTATTTGAATCACCAAGAAGTCAGTACCATTTTCCTGGTGTGTGAGTGAGATGACTTTCATCTCCTTCTTTGTGTCTTTATTAATTACGCGTGGAGAGGAAACCTTCAGCCCAAGGCTGTGGAGGAAGATGACGTCTGTGTTTTGGTGACACTGGAAGTGCACAGTGGAGTTTCCATGGAAGTGCAGCGTCTGGTTTGGGGTCGTTACATTCACCTCTTCCACGATTCTGGTGTAGAGGTCAACCTGGATGGTGATCTCATACCTTTCAGGAATCAGGTACCTTGGTAGACGCCAACTCGTCGGCAGCGGTGCCATTGTAGGTGGTATTATTGTTGGAGGCGGTGTCATTTTCATATCATCTGTCTGAACCTTAAAAGCGATTATCATGGAGATCATCCCACCGATGGCAGAAATCGTCAGGATGGCTAAGGCGATGGCGAAGCCCATGGACAAGCTGGATTTTCGTGGCATTTTGGAAGCTTCTTCCGACCCGTCCTGAAGGTTCCTTTGCTTGACAGCTGGAGACGAGTCTCTGAGCAGGTCGACCTGCAAACTAGGCCAACTGATCTGAAGGCATTGACATAACCCCTTTCTCATAAACAGGGCTGGGCCTTAGAAATTATAGGTGTGCGATGGATTAAGCATTAACCTGGGCACTGCCAAAGGAGCAAAGAGTAAGTGTTGGAGTGTGAAGAGGGCGATGTTCATTGTAGATAGTCAAGCAGTTCTCTCTCTCTCTCTCACACACATCTGGAGGCGGTCACTTGGTTCTTCCCACTAATGCATGGGTTAGGTAAACCTCAGGGAAGGCTGCAGTTTCCTAACCATCACACTTTCCTTGCTTTTTCCTATTTTTAAGTGCAACATGAAAAGCAAAAAATAAACATCACCAAATTAAAAAACAAAACAACAAAAATTAGCAGCTTCTTTTCACAGCAGGAGTCCAGGAGATTCTGTATCCTACCTTTGATCCTTACAAGGGTTTCCATCCACAGGTTTATAAAGATAAAGGGTCCGTTAGGAAGCTCTGTGAGATTAACAAAGTCTGTGCAAACAAGAGGCGAACGAGGGATGGACATCTGTGGGGGGCAGGATGCAAGAGGTGGAGTGCAGCAGAAAAAAAAAAGGTTCATCTTCGTGGAGTCTCGGTCATCAGCGAGGCTCCCTGCGCCCAAATTCCTCACATCAAGAGAGGAAAATCAGGGAAGCTTATGGTCAAACTGGGAAAAGGTGGTTTGTTTCTAAAGAAAACAGATGTGCCCCTTTGATTCAGAGAGTTTTAGAGAAATACAGCCGTGACTTCAGGGTAAGAGCTAAGAACACATTTTAGATCTGTTTCAGGTTATATCACAGTGCTGCCAACAATTATTGGCTGATATTTGGAATTAATCTCACACCTGCAAACATGGTTCATAGAGATAAAATGATTGAGCTCTAGTCCAAAAGACGGGTCCTTACAGCTTTGGACGCAATACCGGCAGGTAAGGGTTTCAAATAGGCAGAAATTATTCCTTTATATCAGAGGTGTCAAGTAACGAAGTGCAAATACTTTGTTACTGTACTTAAGTACACTTTTTAGGTATCTATACTTTACTCCATTACTTATTTATCTTCCTACTTCTTACTTCTACTCATTACATTTTCACACAAGTATCTGTACTTTCTATTCCTTACATTTTTAAAAGAAAGGTTACTCGTTACACTTGGCTTCTGTTTAATGTTTTTAAATATTTATTTCACGTCATGTGCTCCATCCAGACATGGGCAATGTGGAGTCAACAAGTCATCTCCATGTCATGTGTTTGTTCTACTCAGCCAATTAACCAGGTGAGTCCAATCTGCACAGGTTAATTCACGGTGAAGATTGGACTCACCTGCTTCAGTGGCTGGGTAGAACAAATACATGACATGGAGATGACTTGTTGACTCCACATTGCCCATGTCTGGCGCCATCCAATGCAGGTTATTGGCTCCACCCACATCTAGTGAAAACTAGATGTGGGTGGATGAGTCATAGAATGCAAACACTCATTGGTTAGCTAAAGGAAATCATCAGAAGCAAGCAGGTGTTCTTCAAACTGCTAACGTGAATTGTCTATGCCATGCTACAATGTGGGATTCAGAAAAAGATGTTGAAATGTCTGAAAGGTCGGACACAGGCGAGAGAGTATCGGGAGACGGAGACCAACAAGACCTCCCTCATCCTTGGCCCTATCTCAGAGAAGTTTTAGAAATAGTCGAAAAATTTTGCTTTTAGCTCATATAGCGGCATCTGGCTGTTTTTTTAAAGGTTATACGTTGTGTTATAATTTTATACTTTAAGTAGTTTTTAGAGCACATACTTTCTCACTTTTATTGAGTAAAGAGGTCAAGTTGATACTTCAACTTTTACCAGTGTTTTTAAACTGCAGATTCTATACTTCTACTTAAGTAACAGATGTGTGTACTTTTGGAACCACTGCTTTATATGAATGCAAGGGGATTTTTTCCCCACTTATTTATCCAGAACAATTATAATTCAGCATCAAATGATGCTTTTTGCATTTATGTGGAGGAAAACAGGACTGAAGCACCAAATCATCCCCTTATAAGGCCACCACCATGCTGAATGTAAATACGGGCATTTTTCTTAAATGCTGTGTTGGTTTTATGCCAGATATATTAGGAGGCAAAACCTCTGAATAATTTACACTTTTGTCTGATTAAACTTTTTTTTTTGGGACATTAAAATTAGCTGTTCTACTAAGTCATTTTAAAATGTTCTCTATTTATTTATCTTGATGCAAAACAAAATAATGTCCCCCAGAAAACTGAAGAAATCAGTAAGTAGGAAAAAAAATATTTTTTCCAGCACCGTATATATGTGTGAAAAAAATGTTGTTGGTTAATTTGGATGCGTTTAACAAAACTTTGGCCTGTTATGCATTCAGGCCTGAAGTAAAAATTCCAATAAAGTAAAAGAAAATACAAAAACAACAACAAACAAAACCAAAATAAAAGCTTAAGTCAGTCTTTTTTTTATTTGGACAACTGGACCAGATGTTACAACATCTGAGTAATTGTCATTGCCTCCAGGTCGCATGGAAGCGATTTCATTCCCGGAACAAAGCTCTTATAGCAAATCATTCAGTCCGTTTAAAGTGACGCTGGTGCACTTAAGCTGAGCTGGGAAAAGAAACCACAATGGAGCAGAAGAGAAAAGTATCAAGCAATTCTCAAACACCTTGAAATACACATAAGCCCACTTTCTTTCTTTTTTTTCTTTTTACACTATGCAACAGTAAACAGAAATCTGCAGGACAAAATCTTTGACAACTGAGACCTCTGCTGATCCAGAAGGAAACTGCAGATGCTATTGATTGAATTTCTCTGCAGGCAGTCTTAAAAAGCTGGAATTTTTTTTCGGTCTTCTCCATATAAAATATTCTGTGAAGGCAACATCAATGTGCAAAAAGTCTGCAAAAATCAAGAGGAGCAGGAGTTCTTCACTCAAACATTGTAAAAATGACTGTTTCAAAACATTGATGGCTCCCTTTGCTGAAGGAGGACGACAAACACAACAGATGGAAAAGAAGCACCGGCAATTTGAACAATGTGGTTCAGCACTGGAATTAAGTCTCATTCTGCATTCCTGGTCGGCTGTGATTGGAATTATACCAGCTTAACAGCGAGTAATTTACCCAGCAGCTGAGTCAGAGAACAGAAACACAGTTTTCAGCTCAATGAAAGAGCTGCAGTTCGTCTGCTCTACATTAGATTTCAGCTTTAGATCAAAATCTCAGTTTCAACATAAACCAATATTTAGTTTTAAATATCCACTGCATATCTAACTTTTACATAATCTCTCGTGCAAATAACATTAGTTCAGTTCTATTGTACAGTACACGTCATGATTAAAGGGGGAGATGATACCAAGAAAATTAGGCAAAATATTTCAGAGAAATTTTGGTTGCTTTTCCTTTGAAAAAGAAGCAAATTTAAGTTTAAAAAAAGAAAAATATAGAAATGATCTTCATTTTCAAATTCATTATTTGTTCTCCATGAAATAATATGAGCAGCTTAATTCAAGCCTGAAAAAAAACAGGAAAATAAAGTTTATTAGGAATGCAAAACTATGGGAATAAGAGAAAAATTGTAATAAAAGAAAAAAAAAGAAATATATATTTAGGATTAAAACTAAAACTAGACATTATGTCATCAAGGCTTATTTTCAATGCTTTTCTTTACAATCAGAATTTAGATTTTTAGGGCGTATCAGAGGCCAATTAGGATTTCAGGATGAAAACAGATAAACAACAAAGAGACTTTGGGTCATTTTGTCAACGACTGAAAGTCAAAATAAAAAACACTGACTGCTATTCTGTTCAAAAAACTTTGATCCACAAATCTATAAATATATGTGTTAAATAGCAAAACTAAAGCTGTGAGCTTATGAGTCATATCCTGTGCATAGGGTGTCTTAAACACAACGGAAGGTAGTTCCTCACTGGGCAGTTTGATAACAGTTTATATTATTGTTTAAATCACACATAAACTAACTTTGGAAAAACTTTATTCAAATATAAATATGAATAACTTTAAATTGCGTATCCCGCTCTCCGAAGTGTCGTTACTTTGGCATCTAAACTATTTCCTGTTTTTTAAAAGTTTTCAATTCTGATTTCAAAGAATCTGGAGGCCAAACTAACAAAGTAAAAGCCTCCAGTTGATTATGACTGAGTCTGCTTGTTTGGAGAAGATGTCTTTAACTCTTGATTTAATTGTGCAAAAATTAAATGGGATCGATTAAGAAAACTGAAGGATATACATCTGCACTGCTCAAGAAATGAAAATATAAAGAAGCACTCTAATAACATCCTAGCTCTGATAAGTCGATATTGTCACTGAATACTTTGCTCTGTGCAGAGTTGTATGTACTGAAAACAAAATCACACAATAATCATCTGGAAATCTAGTTTATTAATAAGTGGAGGTCTGGATTTGGATTCAAACACTAAATCAAAAAACACTACAGGCTGATCCAGCTTTGATGTAATGTTTTTAAACAGGTCAAAAAGGCTCAGTATCGTGTGGCCTCCATATGCCTGTGTCCTCCCTACAATGCATGGGCATGCTCCTGATGAGGTGGTGGATGGTCTCCTAAGGGATCTCCTCCCAGACCTGGACTAAAGCATCTGCCAACTCCATGAATGTGGTGCAACATGATGTCGGTGGATGGATCGAGACATCATATTCCAGATGTGCTCAATCGGATTCAGGTCTGTGGAACTGTCAGGCCAGTCCATAGCTTCAATGCCTTCATCTTGCAGGAATTGCTGACACACTCCAGCCACATGAGATCTAGCATTGTCCTGCATAGGAGGAACCCAGGGCCAACCGCACCGGCATATGGTCTCACAAGGGGTCTGAGGATCTCATCTCAGTACCTAATGGCAGTCATACTACACATGGAGCGCTGTGCTGCCCTGCAAAGAAATTCCACCCTAAACCATTACTGACCCACTGCCAAACCAGTCATACTGAAGGATGTTACAGGCAGCAGATCAATCCCCAAACAGTCTCCAGACTCTGTCACACCTGACACATCTGATCAGTGTGAACCTGCTTTCATCTATGAATTTGCCAATCCTGTTGTTATCTGGCAAATGCTAAGCATGCTGGATTATGTTGGGCTGTGAGCACAACCTCCATCTGCGGACCTCGGCCCTCATACCATCCTCGTGGAGTCTGTTTCTAACAGTTTACTGAGAAGTGTTCTGTGGTCCCCACCAGCAAAACCACTCCTTTATTGAGTGCATCTTGATAATTGACAATATTTCCACCTGTTGTCTATTCCATGTGTACATCAGCAATGAAAATGACTGTTAGTAAGTGTTGCTCCCTTTATTTTTTGAGCAGTGGATATTTATACATCAGCTCATAATTTAAAGATTTTCCTTTTCCTATATTAATGGATTTGGAATGAAGTCCGGAGAGCTTTTTTACTTCCTCGTTTAATTCTTTTTTGTCTTAATGTTCCAGTCTAAAATATA